AAGCTCTCAACTACCAGCCCCCAAATCCTGCCACGTCCCTCACCCCATGGGTAATCCTAGTCTCCTGTTTGGGAAAGTCAAAGCAGCTCAGGGCAGGGCCAGATGATCCCCCAGATTAGGGATTTAGCTGTGCCACCACAGCCAGCTCAGCACCTCTGCACAGGGGCAGCGTGTCAGTGTGTCAGTGAGTCAGCGCATCGTGCACACGAGTGTGGACAACCCCCACACATGGGAACACGCTGCCACAGGGACAGCAAAGGAAAACTTTCCTTGCTGGCAAAGGAAAACATGTGTCTGGTGTCTTGATGGGATGCTCCCTGCTGCTGGAATGCATTCCATGCTGGAATGTCAGTCTAGGAAGGGAGCAGGGAGACTCTACGGACACTGCACACACCCCCGTGCGTTTCCTAGAGATCCAGCTCTCAGCGTGTCCGTTGCAGCACGTGCTCCAGGAACATGGACTGGGGCTGTGGGAGCGCCCAGGAGGCCGAGGCATCCTGCAGGTGCCGTTGACTTTTCCCCTGAGCAGGGATATTTTGGGAGCGTGGCAGTGGCCGCTGTGCCCCGGGCGCTGGGGGGATGCCCGCTGGGGCTGACTGATGAAAGTTGCCCTTTGGCCGCTGGCAGGGCCAGGCTGGGAAATCGAGGGGGTTTGTCCCCAGATAAAACAGTCCCAAACTGAGCTTTGAGCAGGTGCTTGCGCAACAGGGACCCAGGCCAGAGTGTGGGAGCTCAGAGGGATGAGCAGGGGGCATCGTCTCCCACCCTGGGAGCATCCCACCCCAAATTCCACAGGAGACTCACTGTCACCCACCAGACTCTGTCTGTGATGAGGCTGAGATTGGGGTCACTGGGTGGTGTTTAGGGGAGCACATGAGGGAGACTGGGGAGGTGAGACATGATCAAGGGCCCAGGATTTGGGGGTGGGCTGTAGCTCAGCGTTTGAGGTCACTCACTTGATGCCAGATTCTCCAGAGCTCCATTCAGGATTGTTCCAGATGGAGAACAGCTTCTCCAGGTTGGGCAATGCCCCACAGTACCTGTCCTGCTAGGACGCAGCTTTGATGCTCCCATTACAGACCACCTCTCTCCAGCCCAAGGGGTACCTGGCTCCCAGCCCTTGCCTGGGACCCCCATCCATGGGGAAGGCTCTCCCTGCCCAACCCTTGTGTGCACCCTCTCCCCCACCCCATCTGTAGTCCCAAGAAAAGGCAGCCAGAGCCTGGATGTTACATTTCCACCCATTTATTTGGGAAGTCACACCAAAATGTTATATAATAAATTAAAGCAGAGGCTGTGTGGGTGCATCAGGAAGGTGAAGGCAGAGCAGGAGCTTCAGCAGAGAGGATGGAGCTCCAGGGAATCCCAACAGCTGCAGGAACCTCTACCAAAGAGTAGGAATAGCTGCAAAACTGGAGGAACAAACCAAATCTGTACCTTTAGAGTGGTCATAAAGGCAAAGTCAGACCCACAGGCAACAGGCTGGAGGAGATCTGGCTGGTGGGTGGGAGTAGAGGAGGAAAGCACAAACCCATGGAAAGAGGGAACACACAGGACTTGGAAGCTTGGCCCTCACAGTTCTGTGCCCTCTGAGGAGCAGAGGTCTATGTCCAGTCATGGCTGTTTTAGGGTTCTTGATGAAGTCATACCCTTCATCCTCCTCTTCCAGGCCTGTTATTTGTGCCCCGTTCCACCTGTCCCCAAAATCAGGCCCAAATTGGATGCAAAAAGGTTTGTTGCAGTAGGGAAATGACAAGGGCTGCCTTGTCCTCCAGCTTCCCATCAGACCCATTCCCACATCCCACTATGCTCCCAAGAGGGCTAAGTCCCAAATCATCACTGGACACTGAGTGTGAAACAAGTGGGGCCTCCTCACCCCACACCAGAGGGAAACACAACTGCCAGGAATGTGGGATCAGCTTGGGACCAGCACAAATGGGATGTCCACAGTCACCAACACCCACAGCACAAGCTCAAGCAGTCTGATGTAGCCTTGGCTCTGTCCCACGTGTCCCCAGAGTCCCCTGCCCCATGTGCTCTCCGGAGACAACCCCTGCTCCCTCTGACCAGACCTTCTCCCTCCCTCCCAACCTCTCCAAAGGAGTCCATTGCACCACGGGCTGACTCCAGCTCCCGGGAGCTCTCCAGCTCCCTCCCCCTCCACCGACAGAGACAGTCCTGGAGAAGGGGGTCCCAGCACAGTTCCCCCAGACCTAGCTACAACCACAGGCATCAACAATCATGTCAGGGATGTCAGTCTTGACAATGTTGCTGTTGCGATCGAAGTAGAGGATGGAGAGCGGGCGGCGCCGCGTGGGCACGCAGCACGAGTGCCCCGAGGCCTGGATGTTGTTGGCTTTGACGAGGTTGAAGACGGCTGTGTGGAAGGAGGAGGCCATCCCGGGGCTGCCTGCCACGTGCAGAGGGCACTGGCCCACGCAGTAGTTTATCTGGTAGCCCTCTGGCTTAATGATCCAGTCGTTCCAACCGATGTCACGGAAGTCCACATAGTAATCCTTGCGGCAGCAGAGGTTGGAGTTCTGGCTGCAGCGGAGGCTGCGCTTGGCCACATGGTGCTCAGGCTCCCGCACCTTCGCCTTGGCCACCAGGAAGGGCTGGTGGGGCCAGCTGGCATTGACCAGTGCCGTGACATCGCCCCCGTCCCCGTGGCTCTCCAGTTCCAGCTGCAGGGTCTGGCTCTCCCCCTCGAAGAAGCTCTGCAGGGCTGGCAGGGGGGGGGAGGCTCGCCAGCCGCCGGCCACCCG